GAATTTGAAATGAATTTTTACGAATTACAACTGAAATATTATGATTTGCAAGTAAAATTTTATGAATTTCAAATTGAATTCATTGGATTTCAAATAAAAATATACAAATTACAAATGAAATTCTTAAAAATTCAGATGTAATTTTTTGAATTACATATGAAAAGTTTAAAATTACAAATGAATTGTTGTGAATTGCCGATTAAATACTCGAATTACAACTGAAATGTTATGAATTGCAAATTGAATTTTCGAATTACAAACGAAATTCTCGAATTGCAATTGAAATGTTTGGAATAACATTTGAAAAAGGTGTAGTTTAGCTTTAAAATTATTTAAATAATATTGATCTATATACACGGATGTGGGAATTACATCTATGATAGGGTTTTAATATTCTAATATTGTTTAGAAGTACTATTTTCACACCAGGAGCTGGATATCTCGCAGAATTTTTCACCGACACGACAATTATATTCGCGGTAAATTGACGTCCAGTGGTAGTTATTACACTGCTCCGTTAACGGGTTGAACATTGGAAAATCAGATTCATGGTGTGAAACATACGGAAATTTAAATATGTCCATGCTGAATCGCAAAACGAAAATTTTTTGAGATAATAATAAAAAATTGATTTTTTCAGCCAAAAAGAAAAAAACATGCAATAATGGGTTAAATGTCGGATGTATCATAGCACCGATTTGGGTAATTCGGATATTGGGTAACACTTGTTATCGAGGAACTATCCATAAAGTTAAAACACGTCAACAAGACGATGAAAAGCCTCGCTGGCGAATATATTGCTACTTTGAACATTGTCACCGTGTGTCATGATATTGCGAACATTTCAAATTCACGATAGAACATTTTCGGCAATTTCAATAATTTGCCCCCACGATGTTTGTTTCATTCCCTGTTAAAGATTATGTCCCCATCATTATTTATTTAATCAACAGTCGATTTCATCGTTTAAGGTTATTTGAAGGGTTCAGGAGCAAAGAGAAAATTTATTGTCTGTTCAGACTTCGCACTAGCTTAAAACTGTTTAAAGCACAACATAATTTATAATTTGCATCACCCATATACATAATTGTATTAATCAGAAAAAATGAATCATTTTGGAAGCATCGAATGAATTTAGTCTTATCTGAGGAACGGTTATCACCTCACGTTCTTCTAAAACAAACAACTGATTTTACTATTGAAACGTTCGTCGCCAAGAATTTCCCAAACTACAATGAGAAATAAAATTGATTTTAGTATTTTATTTAAATTTAAATTTACATGGGTGGCGTAGGGGATGATAGATACCAAGCAACGGCTCTGATTGGCTTTAACATGGCGAAGTCCAGGCTTATCTTGGTCCCTCTTTCATCTCAATTGTGGACACTGACCTCCCCGGGGTGCCACCTGGGGAGCTATTCTTATCACCCGATGAAATAGTGAGCTAATATGTGCCGCGAGTTCACTATGAAAAAGCTAAGAAAAAGAAAACCAAACACCCCTAATGTTGACGACCCCCGCAAACGTATAAAGGACCACGTTGTACAGAACAGGCGCAGTGTTCGCTTTGGCGGATATACTCAAGAAATACAAAGCCGATATTATTGCCTTACAGGAAATGCGATGGAAAGGGACAGGCGTAAGTAAATCAGGCGATTACGCCCTGTATTATAGCTGCCATGAAACGAGACATGAATTTGGCTGCGGATTTATGGTTAACAGGAGAATAAAAGACTTTGTCTCCAGATTCACTCCAGTAGATGAGCGAATTGCTATAATTCGTATAAAAGCGAAGTTCTTTTACATCAGTCGAATTTGCGCCCGTGAAGGGAAAATATCTTTGGCCCCACCGTCGGAAAAAAACATGGTAGTTAGCAGCACCAGATTCAAGCATCTCGATATACACAAGGCCACCTGGATCTCTCCTGATCAAGTAACGAGAAATCAAATTGATCATGTTGTGATAGACGGAAGGCATTCACCCAGTGTTTTAGACGTCCGATCGATCCGAGGAGCGAATATCGATTCGGACCATTACCTTGTGGCAGCCATGGTACGCACCCGTCTTAATGTTGCAGCAAAGGTGCGATCTAATAAAACACGGAAACTCGAAGTCGATAAGCTGCAAACACAACAGGTAGCCGAGGCCTACTCCGCTCAACTTACCCATCTGCTTGAAGAAATCACTTCTTGTCCCGATAATAGTATAGAAGCACAATGGCAAAGAATTGCCCACTCCCCACCACCACCAAGAAACCCATGGTACGATCAGGAGTGCGGTAATGCTACTGATGTGAAAAAAACGCAGCGTATAGGGCAACCCTGCAGAAAGTAGCAACACGTAACGTGATGGAGAATTATCGGGAGAAAAAGAGAGAGGAGAAACGTGTTTTCAGAAAAAAGAAGAAAGAACAAGAAAAACGTGAGCGTGAGCAAATCGAGATGTACAGGATTCAGAATGAAGTCCGGAAATTTTACCAACGAGTAAAACACCAAACCGAAGGCTTTGGTGCAGGCACATCGTCCAGTAGAGATGAAGAAGGAAACCTGGTGACAGATACAGACAGCGTGTTGAGGATCTGGAAGGAGCATTTCGAAAAGCTTCTAGTATCAAATAGTGGCGATGAAGAAGATACCCCAGAACCAACAAGAGATGATGGTATAGAGTGTATACCACCTAGCCAAGATGAGGTCATAAAAGCAATTAATCGGCTCAAGAACAACAAAGCAGGAGGAGCCGATGGGTTACCAGCCGAACTATTCAAGACTGGTGGCCAGATGCTGGTCAGGAGCATGCACCAGCTGATTAGCACAATTTGGCTAGATGAATGCATGCCCAATGATTGGAACCTCAGCATCTTGTGTCCCGTGCACAAAAAAGGAGACAAGACGATATATGCCAACTACAGAGGAATAAGTCTCCTTCCCATCGCATATAAAGTGGTATCCAGTGTGCTGTGTGGCTTCAGACCTGGCAAATCCACCATTGACCAGATTTTCACTCTGCGCCAAATCGTGGAATAGACCCATGAAATACACATCGACACATACCTATATTTGTCGACTATCCGTTCAGAGGTGTTTAAACCATGTCTGCGTTCGGCATTACTGCGAAATTAATACGGCTATGCAGGATAACTTTAAGTGGCACAAGGACAGCAGTTAAAGTGAAAAGGACCTATCGGAGCCCTTCAATACCGAACGAGGATTCAGACAAGGTGACAGTTTGTCGTGTGATCTTTCTAACATCCTACTATACACCAAACAACACATGTTTCTCGCATACGCCGATGACATTGATGTAATGGGTTGAACATTGTGAGCGGTAACAGCTACCTTTGAACAAATTGAAAAGGAGTCTCCTAAAGTGGGTCTGGCAGTAAACGGAACTTGAGAACTACAGCTTCGAGGTAGTTAAAGACTTTATATACCTTGGTACCGCCATAAATAAAACGAATGACATCAGTTTTGAAATTCGGAGAAGGATTGTGATGGCCAACAGATTCTACTATGGTCTAAGTAAGCAGTTTAGAAACAAGGCCAACTAAATGAGAAAATGAGCCTACGGATGGTTCCCCTAGAAGGGGAAGGCCACGAATTAGATGGAAAGACCAAGTAGAAAACAACATCTTGGAACGTGGTCTTCCAAATTGGTGGACATGCTCACAAGACCGACGTGCTTGGAAATCTTTTTTAAGCTCGGCTTATGGAACAACCGTTCTGTAACAAGCCAGCTAAGTAAGTAAGTAAATTTACATAGATTGTTGCTTCCATTAACAATTAATTTCTTATGAACTAACATTAGTACAGTTTTAAAACATATTTCTCATACAAATCTTTACTTTTATAGCGAACTACGGATATAGGGTTTTTTTAAACGAACTATTTATTCGGTCACTATTTTCAGATTTCATTTATTTTCATTTTTTGGTTATAACAAACCTGCTATATATAGCAGGTTCGTTATGAGACTTTTTTAAACATGTCTAAATATTTTATTTATTTTTTCATAGAGAACTCCATATGTCAGCTAATCAATTTACACACCAATATTGACCATAATTAAATATTGACGTATTTCCAAAACTACATCCATATCTCAACACTACACTCCAATTCTGATCGCAACACAAATCTAGCTCTGTACTAATTTTTGTACCATTTATTACCTATCGTACTCTTGTAGTACCTATTTCCAAAACTAATTCCAAATTCCATGATTCGAGCTCTATAGGTTAACCTAAATTTTAATTTTACCAAAATTAGTGTCATTTAGTACACATTAATATAAATCCAATCATATTTCAATTTCAGACTCAAGCCCGGTTATGTTAATTTCAAATTTTTTGAATTCAAGCTTCAATCGTTTCTCCTAATTCAAATTGCACCAAGTTTAGTATAGTTCAGTATACATGAGTACACGCTTTCAAAACCACCACCTTATATTGAACCTACTTTTCAAACTTAATTCGCATTCCAAATTTCAAGTTTTTATCTCTGCCCAGTCACCTGGTACGATATTGTACCAAATTTAATTCATTACAAATTTAATTCATTATATATATATATATTTACGCTAACACAACCTATATAAAAAATGTCAGTGCAAGAATCTACTGATTTGCACTCTTTTTCGATGTCATAAAGGAACAATTCTTAACGCAGCAAAAAGTTGTACATTCTTGTGGACATTCAGTTTTTATTGGAATGTGAAAAATGTCAGGATCAATAAAGAAGAAGTTCAAGTACAAACAATCAAAACTAAAGCAAGTTATTATAACATGGTTGTTTTTTTTTAACTGGTATAAACTTTTGCTCGCCAGTGTTAATATCAGCCTATATATGTGCATATCTCACAGCCATTAAAAAAAATATTTTCTAGCATGTCGTAATAAAGACAAGTATCTGGTGGGATAACAAGATCTTATCTTTTGTGGGTGCTGCGTTTCATCACACACTGTCCCGATATGTGTACGTGAAGCGAAGCAATGAGTAGGGCGATATGGACCGCATAAAAGTGCTTAGCACTTGTCGAGCAATTTTCATTAAGAAATTCTTCTAGTTTGAGCAATGTGTCTGGCGAGTAAAGTGAAGGGCCAGACGGTCCAGATGATAGCAGTTTTAGTGGGTAAATTGATAGCACATCATCGCTGACACCTGGCACAACGGCATTACTTCCCAATAAGAGTGTACTTTTATTATCATTTAAGGTAATATATTGAACTTCAATTTCGGCCTGACCTTTGGAGTAACATCGTCACATTCGAAGCTTTATGGATCGCCGGTAAATACCCCCTTGACACATGCTGCATATCCACAAGAAATAACATGGGTAGCGAGCGTCCTTTTCCTTTCGGCAGCAATTGCCTCGCTGATATTTGGACCAATCTCGCATAAAATCGGACCAAAATCTGTCCTGCTGCTTTGCGGTTTACTGCAAATGGTGAGATCTAGTTATACAACAGCCTTAATCGTACAAATGAAAACATATTTTCTTCTTGCAGGCAAGCTGGTTCTGTGTCCATTTTGCATTTGATATCCTACACATTTATTCGTCTCGAATTTGTGCTGGGATAGGAGGTGGTGCTGCCTTTACGGTTTTGCCGCTTTATATATCGGAAATAGCTGAAGTGGCCGGTTCAAAGGCATCTTTGAACGTGTCCATAGAAATTTGGCGCGCTTGTGGAATTATGACGGGTTTCATTTTCGGCTCCTACCTTAAGTACAACTACGTTGCTGTTGTGGGAATTCTGGTGTCGTTTTTCTTTTCGATGGTATTTCCCTTTGTCCAAGAGAGTCCATACTACTTTCTACGCAAAGGCAATATGGCCGGTTTAGAAAAGTCGTTACGTTGGTTCCGCGGTATTCGCAGCATTGATGACCGCAATAATCCTGAGTTTGAGCATGAATTGACACAAATAAAAAATAGTCTCCAAGAAAACTCACAGTTGATCAAAAGCGGCCCATCCACATCTCAATTGGTAAAAATTGTATTTGGAAATGTAGTTCTAGCAGTAGGATCCCAACTGGGCAGCATATATTCCGTTTTGTATTACGGTTCATTGATTTCAATCGCTGCTGTACCGCTCCAAGTGGCTGGCACCAAAATAATTATGGTTATTGCTGCTGTCCACATCTTAGGAACTCTCATGGCAAAGATATTCAGCGGATGTGCTAAACGAAGTGTAAGAACTCCGACTTCTGACATGATAGTAATGAATGCCAGTTGTACATTATTAAATGTAATTCTTTACAGATACTCCTAGTTATCACATCCTTGGGATCCGCTTTGTGTCTACTTTTGGGAGCAATATATTTGTCATATGGAAAAACTTGGGATATGGATGATGAAATAGAAGCCTGGATAATGCCAATCATATTGGCAGCACATACATTCTTGGCCAGTATAGGTTTTGTAACCTATTCCTCCACAGTCTTCATGGAGAATATTCCAAAGAAGGTGAGTGTGTTTATGAAAGTTGGAATGTTTATGTAAATTGGAAAATTTTATCCAACGCCTCAAAAGGGTTACTTTATTTATGTTGGACAATCATTTTAGATTTCGGTTGAATTAGATGTCAAAAATATAGAATTGGGGACACATTATGTAGGCTGTAAGTCTAATATGGCAGAGTATATTGGAAAAGGTTTAGCAAACGTTGTAGACATGTAGTACGTTTACATTTAACCAGATTTCGTTAACCCAGTGGATTTCAATTGTCAATTCCTTTGCATATATGTCAAATAAATCCTCATAAAGTAGGTTAACCCACATTATGTAGGCTGTAAGTCTAATATGGCAGAGTATATCGATTGGAAAAGGTTTAGCAAAGTCTTCGCGTGATATGATCAAACCTTTTAGACATACCGTATCGAATACAGTACATTCCTATAATTCGTATCATGTAGTGTACATAATCTGCAAACTGACAAACTATATTATGCATAAACATAACCTAGTCTTTATAACCTTCGTTATCAGTGATTTAGTCTGTATATAAATTAGAATCAAACTTGAATTCCCATATTTTCAATTGGTTTTCTCAAGAAATATTTTCACGACTTGAAATAGTAAACCTAGTTAATATAAGATACCTATATCAAACTAAGCGAACAATCATGTTCCCAAAAATTCATCGATTATTATTCATTGAAGTATTATATTCAATAATTCAAAATAATATTGGAGATAAATTTATAAATTTAGATTGCAGTTTTTGCTTGAGCATACAATTATTTTATGCGATTTATATTTATTATATGATACAATGGAAAGTAAAGTGATAGTTCTAAAGATAAAAGATAAATGTCGATTGAATGACCCGTAGTCAAATATAGTTCGCTGCCGGCAGAGCGGAAAGATCAAGCATTAAAGTCGGCCAGATCGAGATTGTTTTACCCTCCACCATGAAGTTGTCATTTAAAATACCAGTAATAGTTTGGGAGCTTCGTAAATGGCGGACTAGCCATGGTAAATTTTTGGAAAAGATGGGTCTCATTGTACCAAATTTCAAACAATTTGGTTGAAATACGTGTCAAAAATTTCGAAAATACTGAATATTTTGGTGTACAAATATTAGGGGGCTATACCAGAAAACCCTACGAGTAATAACAATGTATGTTCGAAATTTCAAAGGTCTACCTTAAATATTGTGAGCTCTACCGTGATTTTAACATACGGACGTTCATATATCGAAATAGAATTATATTCTGATCAATAATATATGACAAATTTAACCACAATTTGATGTTGTTTACATGGTTTCCAAATGGATTTTACTGGAGGTTGATCGAAAAATCTTATCAATATATATTTTATAAGAGAGTGGTGGGCATTATATATAATTGCTTCCTTCCATAGATAGTTTTTAATTTATAGTGATATACAATACTGGCGGTTGGTTTTGTCTTTCATTGTGAGTGAAGTTATTTTATTATATCGAAATCTACTATAGTCATAAAAGTTAACCTATAATTATATGCAACCTACCTCAATTAAATATATTCTTCTTTTTTCAGTTACAATATCAATTACTGGGTTTGCTACATTTTCTATCGTGGATGACTGTATTTGCTATTGTTCATGTAAGTTTATTAATTGACGACCACATTGACTTTTAATGAAGTCGGATTTTTTTTCTACTTTATAGTATTATGTTAACATCGTGACTAGCCTTTCGGCAACAGGACTTCTTCTAATATTTGCCATTGGTTGTTTTGCTGTAACAATCGGATCAATATTTTTCCATACAACAAATAAATCGATAAATGAACTGGAAGTTAGTGGTCACTCTATACCTAATGGACATTATGCAAATGTGCACATTTAATTCAATTAGATGACCGCGCTAACTACATTTCAATTATGGTTGTTTCGAAATGGTGGTTCATATTTTTGAAGTATGACGAATCACATTCGAATACCATTGGAACATGTTTCATTCAAAATATAGAATAAGTTTATTTATTTTAAATTATGTATCTAAATAAGGAAATGATGTACAAACATTGAATTAATACCACTATAACACCCAACAGAGAGGATAGAATAATCGTTAAAATGAAGAACTTATCAAGTGGGACCAAAAAAAAATGAAATAAAGCAACATATTTTCAGATGATACCCTTAAATTTATATTGATAGAATTTAAACAAAAATAGTATATTAAAATGAAAATTAGCTTCGAGTTTCGTGGTACCACAAATTGTGGAACATGAATTTCGGAACAAAGGTTCGTAGCAGTATAGGATAGGTGTATCAGGGCAAGTGTCAGTATATTAAGGAATTGTGTTTCTTTAGGGGTTCGTCATTTCGAGTGAATGTTGTTTACCCAGCATTTACCAGACGTTTACAAACGACTTTTTTGTGTTGACAATAGCAAAGATACAAACCATCTTTAAAATATACAAAGTTGTAGGAATTGATCGTACCGGCAATTTTCTGGCAATTAGTTTTGTGTATTTCGTATTGTAGTATCAGAAACTTAAAATACCAATACCAACCCTGAACATTTTCGATGAGGGTATTTTGTCTGCTGTATTCACATTTATATTATTCCTTTATTGTTGTTTTATTTAATTTTTAGTTCCACAAAATTAAAAAAAAGTCACAAAATCTTCAAAAATATATATTTTTTGAAACCGATTTCGAAGCAAGTTCAAAAGAGTACGATAAAAAATTGTACCATTGTCTTATCTAAATAAGAACAAATGATCTTGAATTTTTCATTAAACCTGCGTCTACAAGCGACAGAACACTCGAAGACATTTGAATTAATACATTAATTGCCAAAAAATTAAAAATTGTCATGCGTCTAGACAATTTAAATAAACATTTCGAATTCATGAATGAAAATATTAATTCTATTCTCTTTTATGTTTTTTTATGTTTAATCCCATTTCAGTCGAATTTCTTATTATTTCAAATTATGTATTGCAATATTGTTTGAAATGAAAAATATGGAAAATACAATTTCAAATAATGAACAATTCGACTGAAATGAATTAGAATCTTACATTAAATCCGACTAACTCGTCCGACGTTTTTCACCACAACGTTTTTTTTTTTTTTTTTTTTTGTTGAAAAAATTTGCATATTTTTATAAATACCTAATTAGGAATGGAACTTAAAAAGAACAATTTATTACATACTTATTGTTGTTTGGTCTACTCCTCGCCGTGGTGGTGTTTGTGTGTGGTTGGGGGTGATCAATAATTAATTCAAGGGAGCGGGGTGCAGGCGACAACAAGAGAACTCCCAAGCAGTCAATGGTGTATGGTAAAGAAAGAAATGCAAAGAAAATAAAACACAATAGTTATTAATATAATATTCTATGTATCTTGGATTTATTGGTGGTTCTTTCTTTTCGTAATACAACAAATAAATTACCTCTAGTAATTTATGGTGGCGGCGCTGAGACCTGTTAATAACGCGTAGACGTTATTCGACTAGTTAACTCTAAGGTGGTTGGACGACAAGTTAACTCTAAGGAGGTTAAACGACAAGTGATCGCTGTGGTTCATGCAATCACAGACTACTACATTTACATATTCCAATGGGAGAAAGTGTCCCGTGGTGTCAATCAGCAGACGTGACTGACTGAGCTCGGGAAGTTGAGAGCAAAACAAATTCGGCCCCCTTGCTACGACCGACAAAGTAGCAATTAACAATTTAATTGGAATATGGGTTAGTAAAATCCATATATGATTTCAAGTGAGCTTCATGTTACAAATTTAGTAAACGACAAAACATTTGTGTATTCAAACGATATTTTAATTTACTAAGGTGATCTATTATGGATGGAAGATTAGGTGGCAGGCACTGAACCGGCCAGTATATACCCGAATATAGACTTTTGGGCCAACAACGAATTTAAAACTAATTTTGGTGGTTCAGCTTCCAGTATGTGGGGGTAAAGATCAGCGCCAAGTAGCAAATCTATTGGGCTGCCGTCAAAGGAGTCAGCTAAATCTAAAGGAATTTTAGATTTCAAAGTTGCAATAGGTGGATGAGCAAACAATTTCCCCTTAACATTAGGCCGTACAAATGCCTTTGCGTCAACAATCTTAGACGAATTCTTAGGGGACGACAATTTAAGAGAACACATTTCTCTTGGTGTAGCATGGCTGTACTCTTTCTTCGAATTACCAGAAATGCCAAGTGCGTTTTTAAGTTTTTTGCTTACAACAGATACCGTGGAAGAAGGATCAATAATGGCACGAACAGGGTGTGTTTTTCCATTATGAACTATATTTACTACTGCTGTTCATAAGAGAACATTGGTATCTTGGGAGGGGTGAGGTATCGGTGGATTAACTTCGTTTGTATTCGAAGAAGGGTGCGACAAAGTACAAATAGATACTCGACTATTAACATTTGTAAAAGTCGGTGGCTTGTCCGAAGAACGGGACAACAAGGTCTTTCCTCGACTTTTGACCTTTGTAAATGCCGGAGGTGAATTGGAGGGAGCAACAACTTTATTGATTGGTGACCGGTGAAGAAGGCTGTGGTGCCTTTGCTTGCATATAGTGCAACTATAGCTGTGTTCCCAAACCTGCAATATAGTACTATATTGTACTAGTTTTGCAATTGTTGCTAGAAAAGCTTTTCCTTACGCCGAAAAGTAGGAAAAATTGAAGTTAAATTTAAGAGAGTTAAAACCAAAATGGCGTTCTCTTCTCCTATTTTCTGCAAGACCAATTTGGCCTAGCACGAAATAGTGAATGTAGTAAATTATGAATTTGACATTTGATTGCCAGAGATATACAGTCCGAAATAAAACATATGAAAGTTAGGGCTTCAACAAAAGGGACACACGCACAGACGCACACACATTTGCTTAAAAAAAAACAAATAAGAAATTTAAAAATGGACAAACAGTTTTTTATTCTCTTTTGAATGAAGATGAATGGCTGGCAGAAGATTCAAATGAAGATACTATAGAATGAAGTCTTGGGTTGTCAATCGTACCAAAATATCTTGGGCTTAAGACAAGTTTAGGGGCTCCACTTGGATCGCTCCACTTACAGTAAGTAGTCCTCGTTGAACTGATTACAGTGATATGGGGAGAAATGCATACTTCCCGAGATATGGGCCGTATCATTTTATAGGTTATGGTTTGTGTTATATAATTAGATGAAGAATATATTGCGTAGCCATGTATGAGCCTGTCCATATGTGAATGTCTTATTCTTAAGTTCTCTAAAAAATACCCGGTATAAACTTTTAATAATACCCATATTGCCTTGGTGGCAATAGAAAAAGGGTTGTTTTAAACAAAATATGTTCCGAAATTCCAAGGCCAATATCTCGGGAAGTATGCATTTTCCCACATGAAATGTATATCACTGTAATCCGCACAAGGAGGGCTACTTACGGTAATCATTTCAAAATGATCCGAATGGAGCCCCTAAACTTGACTTGTTCCATATCTTGTTGTTCTAGTTCGCAAAATATCTACCAATTTCAATAGCATTAACATTATGGGAGCGTCCAGCCATGTAAGCCTTTCCGGGCTCGGAGTCGTCGGAAACTCCACTTCCAAATATTCGATAAGGCTTTCCTCTAAATTATACAAATAAAAAAATAAACAAAAAATATTTATATTATCAAAATCACGCAATGGACGCCGTTTAACTTTTTGTTTTTTTTTTTGTGCATTAGGTTTCTGTAGTCTTTTTTTGTCCTTAACAAATGAAATTTTTGATTTTGACGTTTCTTCATGTTTTAACTATTTTTCGTTCCTTTACTTTTTGCGCAAATCTTGTATGTGAGAGTAATTTTTGATAGTTCGCTCTTTTAATAGCTTTACTATCAAAAAGTACGAGAACGAACCTTATGTTTACTATTGCACGTTTTGACTACATGTCCACGAGACAAACAATTTACACAACATTTATTTTTCTTAATAATCGAGAATTTGTCCTCAAACGAAAGTTTTAGAAACTGGGGGCAGAGTCGAAGATGATGGCTCTGGTCAGGACAAATGGTGCAAGAAGTTGTGGACGGTGAATTTATAGCTCGAGGTGGGGTAACACATTTAGAATTATGTACCGACAACAATATATTGGAGGATTGAGATGTAGCGATATCACGAGGTAACAACTTCTTAGAGGAGGTTGGAGAAGACATTTTCTTTGGCAACGACAACATATTTTTGGTGGGGAGGAGGTGTTCTAAGCAAGTCAAAGTTTGTATCCTCTCTGAGAGGAATGCGTCTAATTCTATCCAAGAGGACAACGACGATTTATTCTTTATACTTTGCTCCCAAAGAGTCAAAGTCAATTTTGGCAAACGCTGCAAACAACAAACGGATCCCAATGATCCGTGGTGACGTCATAGACTGACATTGCAGCAAGGCAACTATTTATCCCACGTTGGATATTTTTAAGGCCATAAACAGTTTCAGCTTCTATGGAGGGGAGTTCAAACAAGGATTTGAGGTGACAATTTACCACAATTCGTTTATTGTCATACGTATCAGACAAAGCCTTCCACGCTAAAGGGAAACTAGAATTGGTGAGTGGAAATCTGGAAACGATTTCACGAGCTTCACCGGTGGTCTTCTGTATTAAATGGCAGAGAC